GGAAGGAAGGAAGGAAGGAAGGAAGGACGGACGGACCTTGGGGTGGGAATGAGCTGAGGGCTGGAACTGTGGAGATGGCAGCAATCGCAGCCCGAGTTTCAATGGCCAGACTTCAGCTTTACAGCTGCTTCAATGAAGACTATCATAGATCTGGATGATCACTAGGACTTGTTCCTGCTATCTAGAGGTTTTCCAAAATTTTGCAGCCATGGTATAGTACCCCTAGCTGCTATGACCCCAAAGGCTAATGCCATTCTCAACAATGCTAACGACAGGAGAACTGAGGGTACTTAACAGGCTCCCGCAGAGATCTTGCCTGGTGTGTAAAAAGCAAACATAACTATGTTGGCCCATGGAAAAAAAACCCAAATCCATCGTTGGATAATACCTTTAGTAGAACCATCCACATTGATGCAAATGAGTGGGCAAGGTTCTAGAGAATGTCATCATGCAAGATAGTACAAAAATTGGGGATAAGGAAGAAGTAACAGAAGTTGGGCTAGGTATTTCAGTCATGAGATCTGCAGCAAAAAATTAATCTTAAAATGGAGACTTGACTGGATGTATTTTTGGTGGTTTGTCTCATGAGACTGCATGTAACATTCAGAGACAGGGGAAATGGTTGCTACATCAGCTCTGAAAGCACAAGGCCGCTAGTCAACTCTGTTTCTGACTTGCTTGATGTGATCTTTTTAAAAGACTGCTTAGGCAAGCTTGTAAGAAAGCTTTCTGAAAGAAAGCAGCTAAGAGGAAAGGAGAATTAAGATAAAAATCAATTGATTCCCATAAAAATGCCACCCCCTTGCTTAAAAGGACTCAAAACTCCTATAGTGGTGAATGACATATCAGGGAAACATCTAGTCAGATGCTCAGTTAAACAAAACACCCTGGTCTGTTCCAGCTGCAGGGCTGGTCAGATGCTTTTGCAAAGTAAAAGTAGCCTGAGGAGCATTCTCTACAGGAGCTGAAAACGCAAAGGAGAGATTGTTCTTGACCATCTGTTCCAAAGTTTAAAATGACTTCCTGCCCTCCCAGTTAGTGCCATCTCTGAGCATGATAGCTTTAGTGAAGCAAAGCTACTGTGGAGAGAGTTCTCCTGGAGTTGGATAAGGCAAAGGGGCTTTGAGGGAAAATGTGGATTGTCCTGTCTAGTGTTGATTGGACTGAAGTGCATTAGAGTTCCTCTTACTACCCCGGGACTAATTTTGTCCATCTCTCTTCACCCTCTTTTACTTTCTCCAGGCTCTTTTCAACCTTTCGAGATAGCCGCCATGTCTACCTGCTGCTGGAGTTCTGCCAAGGAGGCGAGCTATGGGCCAAGCTGCGCGAAGTGTATGGAGATGCAGTCATGGGAGCTGGGCAGTGCGGGGCAGGACGGAAGGGTGGGGCAGGAAATTATCACCTGCATGTCCTTGCCAGTTATTCCAGGTTCAAGGAGGTTGTGGGCTATAAGGAACTGCTGACATAGAAGCTGTTAGCTTTGCTTCTTGGTCCACAGAACATACCTTCCACATACACCTCTGGCCCAATGCTCCGGTGCCAAGGAAGAGTCCCATCATCCTCTCCACACTGCTCTCAATTACTTACCACCATCTAACTTTTGGGTGATTTCAAGCTTTCTGTGTAGACATTGGCTGGGTTCACACAACATACTGAATCTTAAAACTTGGCTAACAAAGCATAGTATCTGTGCAATATGTTTAACCAAGTCAGGTAAAGAACTAACATGTAACACTTCGTGTGAACTTTGGTTATATTTTTTATGGCTTAGCATGTTGGGACAACTCAAGATGGAGCGTGTTGTGTGAATGCAGTCAATTGCTGTATTCCTGTAACATGTTATGCCCAAAAAGATGAATTGAATTATGGTTTAATGAACTCATAAAAACAATGTTCTAAAACAACAGGAAGATCCCCATAATATGCTTAACCACGAAAACCCAGCTCCACTTTAACTGGTCTAATGAGTTGCATGAATCCTGTCATTCAGTGGCTTGTGAGGGATGGGCAGGAGAGAAAGGATGGAGCTGCTGAAGTGGCTTCCCACTTCATCCTGTGCATGAAGGAAGCTGTCCAAACTACATCAAGCAGCGGTATTCCAGAAGGTAATGTAGGGTCTTTTCCAGCCCAAGCTGGAGATAACATGGACTGAATCTGGGATCCGTTGCATTCAAATTGTGTTAACATCACCTGGTTATTGAATAATCCATTTTCTGGATTTGCACAATAATATTGAATCAAATGTAGTCACTAGTTCTTTTACTGTCCTGGGTTAAGTATGTTGCATGAGAACAGCCAATAAGTATAAACTCTACCACTGAAATGCATCCCTCATTTTATGCTTCCAGCCGCTGCTTCTCAGAGCCCGTGGCCATCTTCTGTTCTGCTTGTGTGGTTGAGGCTCTGGACTACCTGCATGGACAGGGCATTGTGTATCGTGACCTGAAGCCTGAGAATCTCATGTTGGATGCCAAGGGCTACGTAAAACTGGTAACAGAGAGGGAGGAATAATACATCTTCCACACAGCAGCCTTAAGCTGTTTATCTGCCATGCTGAAAACAGCTGGAAATGACATTGGTGTGCAGATTTCAAGCTGTTCTTCAGCTGTGGCAACAAGGCTGGTCAGCCCAGGTGTCCTGTCCTAATGGTGGCATTTATGGATTCTCCTGCTGCTTTACCCCTTCAACCTGCTCTTAGAGAACAAGCACCAGTTACTTTTCTTTCCATGAACTGGTATTTGAGGATGTGTGATTTCCATTGATAGACCTTGGCATGAAACCCCCTCTGTTCCTATCCCCATATCAAACATCTTTGAACTTGTTTGTCCCATCCTCTGGATGGGTGTGGCTTTTTTCTAATTTTTTCCCTTGGACCATTTCTGAAAGTGGGACATCCTGAAGTTCCAGTCTGCCTGGGAAGCAGCAAGTCAGCTGTATCTGCACTGCAAATCCAGAGATGTACAGTCTGAGGCTTCAGGGCACATGCAGTCCAATCTCAGCCTGGAGTGTAACTCCCAGTGACCTCCAAAAGTGATTCCCAAATTGTAATTTGTACTCTGGCAGAAGGAAAAACATAACCAGATAAAAATCATCAACTATTTTCAATTTTAATTACATTTAAGTGTTAATGAAATAAAATCCAATTTAGTTTTCATTGTGGCCCTGTTAATTATTTTGGGGGGTTCAGCTACCATTTCTGGGGGTGGTACAAATGTGCCAGCAGGGTCCCTGGTGCATGTACTTTCCTACAACAACCAGCTGTAAGTCTATGGGAACCTTCTAGGTCTACATGGAATAGCTTTCTCTCTTGCCTTCCTGCACCAGTGCAGCTAGTTTTGTTTTGTTTTTAAAGAGTCAGACTATCTCTAAATAGAACAATTTACTTTCCCACCATGCCTGAATCCTCTGAAGGAGTGATGTGCTTCTGCAAAAAGATAACTCGGGGTACACGGGCAATGACACTTCCTCCCTTGATTTTTCTAATCTCTTAGATCGTTGGCCATCCCATGAATTCTGCTCTGTTTTCCAAATAAAAAGGTGTCAGGACTCCAGCTTGATATTCATATGGGTTGGTGGGGGCGGTGGGACTCAGTGTAATTTTTCTATCCTCTACTCTCAACAACTCCCACCTCTCTGCTTTTTTACAGGTGGACTTTGGCTTTGCCAAGGCACTCAGACGTGGTGAGAAGACTTACTCCTTTTGTGGGACTCCTGAGTACTTGGCCCCTGAGATCTTGCGCCATGAAGGACATGATTATGCTGTGGACTTCTGGACACTTGGTGTGCTCATCTTTGAAATGCTTGTAGGACGGTGAGTCTGCCCCTGCATTTCTCCGTCCAATCAACATAGCAATGGGACACTCACACTACTTCCTGGTGCACCTTCTTCCCTTCCTCTTTCCTAGAATCAATTGGTGAGGGAGTTTCAGGAACTGGAGACAGAGGGGCAAAGCATCAGCTATGCCCCATAGATTCTGAATGGGATGCCAGAGCCATCTATTAGATTTGCTTAGAGTCCAGTTGACCAGGCTGACAGTACAGGCAGAAGTGGTAGAGATTCAATTATAGTTGCTGCAGGGACATATCAAGAATTGTTCCATCTGGTGACACTCCATCATGCTATTTAGACAAGTGAAAGAGTAAGTTTCATTGAAGAAGAACTTCTGGTTGTTAGAGAATGGCTGGCTCTGTCCCACAGTGGTATCCATATGTCTATGTTTTTCTCTTCTCTTCTTCCCCACCCTAGACCTCCATTCCACAGTGCTGAACCTCAAAAGATATACAGCAGGATCATGGATGGTGTCTTCTCTTTCCCCGCCTTTGTCAGTGAGGCTGCATGCTCCCTTGTAGCCAAGCTTTGCAGGTATGTTTCCCTGTTGGTGCTCACTCCAGTCAACATGAGAACAGGCAAGGCAGTGCTATGATTAAGTTCTACCCTAAATAAAAATGAACGAAGGAATCGGGTGGACAACCATGCTCAACTTGATTCAAACAAGATAAATTGGCATCGTGAGAATATGGTGGAGAATGTAGATGAGGGCTCTAATGACTATACTTTGCCTCTCTACCCCTGCTTGCAGATTAATCTGTGCTTTCTGTGTCAACTGCAATTTAGCAAAACCAGAAGAACTCCAATAGCGTGAACAGTCTAGGCCACTGGCCACTTGTTCCAGGAAGCATGAACATACTGTAAGAAGGACACTGCATTTAGAACTGGTTAAATGCCCATCATGCCTCTGAAAAGCTCACATGCAAAACAAGAGAGTAGTACCCTACAGGTGATATCCAGAGGCATCCTGAATTTCCCACTATTCAGCTCGAATAACCCCCACCTCTAGTATTATAAAATGAGAGCCAGTTTGGTGTAGAGGTTAAGGCACCGGCCTGGAAACCGTGAGACCGTGAGCTCTAGTCCCACCTTAGACACAAAGCCAGCTGGGTGACCTTGGGCCAGTCTCTCTCTCAGCCCCAGGGAGCAGGCAATGGCAAGCTACTTCTGAAAAACCTTGCCAAGAAAACTGCAGGGACTAGTCCAGGCAGTTGCCAGGAGTCAAAAACTGACTAGAAGGCACACACACACTAGTATTATAAAAGTGGGAGGAAAACATCACCTTTGTCTATTCTAATCATTTTATACACTTCTATTCTGACGCTCCCCCAACCCCATACTTGCTTTCTGATAAACACTGATAACCTTTCCTTGTAAGAAAGAGAGTCCAATCATTTCATCATCATGATTATCTCTTCTGTGCCATCTTATCCCATCCCAAGTGTGCTCAGAAAACACTGACCTTTTCTCCCTTCCTTCCTTCCCCCTTGGCAGGCGTCGACCAGGGCAGAGACTGGGCAATACCAGCAGCGGGATCCGGGGCATCCGGAAGCATAGGTATGTTCATAGGGAAGAATCCTGGGCAGAGAAAAATTGTCAGCTGAAATTGCAGAACCTGTCTCTGCCAAAAGGTGGCACAGGAGTCATAAAGAAGGTCCATATCCTGTAGGGAAATAGGATGAAGTTAGAGAAGTAATTTAAAATGTAGCTGATAGTGGGATCGGTGTACTTCCAAATGCTCATCTTCCCTACTGGAACTCAGGCGCATAATGCTCATTTGAGCTGCTGAACTGTTTCTGAGTTAGCAAAGGTATTTTTGATCAGATACCATTCTTTGCATTGTGATTATTTCTTGTTTGCATATGGCCTACTGACTGGGACTTACTGTCACAGTACAGCAAATAGTACTGCCTATACTGTTTAATGCAAGATGGTTAAGAAAGCAACTGATGGATTCCCCTGGCTTTGTTTCCCACCAATGTCACTTGCCAGGAAAATTGTTCCCCTACCAATTGTTCTGTCTGTTATGTGGTGGATGAATCTAGATGGTCGCTTTGAATAGCTGCCTGACTAACAGGTTACGGGTGCAGAGTAGTCCATGCCTGTTACATGTCAGTCAGGTTGTTTCTGATCACAGACCTAGTGTTCTTCTAGAAGAGCACTTAAGCCCACTTCCGATTGTAGCCCAAATGACAGGCTGGTGTTGCGGAAGAGAGTTCAGCACTAATCCTCTAGTGCTGCAGTGTATTGGCAGTCTTGACAGTGAGTGCCCATGACCAGCAGCCCCTAGAAGTACCCTGAGGTATAGGTGATACGGTGCCTCCCTCCACCACCAAAGAGGTAAACAATAAAAAATACAGCCATGCAAAACCACTTGTTGACAGAAACAGCAGAAAACCTACAATGATCTCTTTGGTAATAGAACCAGCAATACACAACTGGCAGAGTCCCTCTTTCCTGTTTTAAATCAACTTTTTGTACAGCACAAGGTTACAGATAGTCCTCATTTAGCAACTGCCTTGTTTAGCAACTGTTCACAGTTACGACAGTGATGAAACTTTGCAATCAATCCTCACATTTATGATCTTCACAGGTCTGTAAAGCAAAGGAAAGCTGAAGTAAGATCATAAGCACAGTCATGGTTTCACTTAGCAACCGCTTCATTTAATGACTGAGTTGCCAGTCCCAATTGTGGTCACTAAACGAGGACTACCTGTAATGTTCTCTCCAGATAGTATTACAAGTAGTCCTTGAGTTACAACTATTCATTCAGCAACCATTTGAAGTTATGACGGTGCTGAAAAAATGGACTTATGATTGGTCCCCGAAGTTATGGCCATTGCAGCATCCCCACAGTCACGTGATTGCAATCTGGGTGCTTGGCAACCCATTCACACTTATGACCGGTTGCCAAGCACCCTGCGATCACATGATCGCCATTTGCAGCCTTCCCTGCTGGCATCCCACAAGCAAAGTCAATGGGGAAGCTGACAAGGGAGGTTGCAAGTCACTTAGGTAAGTCTCCCCCACCCACCCCAGCCTTTCTTTGCTCGCTCGCATGCACTGCACCCTACTTCCCCCCTTTGCTTGCATGCATGCACCAGAGCCCTCCTTCCCCTTTGCTTGCTTGGATGCATGCACTGCTCCCTCCTTCCCTCCTTTGCTCACTTGCACACTCCAATGCCCTCCTTCCCCCTTCGCTTGCTTGCATGCACCGCGCCCCCTTCAAGCTGTGGTGTGGCTCTGGGGCTTTGCAGGAGGAAGGCTTTGCTGGCATTACATGGACAGCTGCCTCTGTGGAAGCTACAGCTCACTTTTTCTTGCAGCCCATATCAAAATGGCTGTTGAGGGCAGTGTTCAGTGACCAAAGGGGAGGGGCACGCAGCAGTGGCTCAAAGTGGCTAATATTTCCAAGGCCCTGAGAGTACCAGCAACCACACCGTTGATGAAGGACGCTAGATTGTATCCACGGCAAAAATTATGTCAAGACGAGAAGGAAAACACTACTTTATGATGGGAACAGTTAAATAACCCTTCAGTGGCCTCAGCTGTGAGTTATGGATGACATGAAGGCGATGTATTAAGGACATGGCATAAAAACAGGTTATTGGAACATGTTCACTCTATGCCTAGAGGGAACGCGAGGATAGTCAGCAGGACCTAAATGCTCGACTGTAGGGTCTGCGGCCACCTTTATTTATCTGGCTTTGGATCTGGTGCTCTAAATGCTTGCAGCTCATACGCCCCTTCTGTCCTCAGGTGGTTTAGCTCCCTTTCCTGGAAGAAACTGGCGCTGCGTCAGATTGAGGCTCCCACCACAGTGCTGCTCAAACAGGTATGAAGACGGCCTTCAAGGGCACCCTCCTTCTTTCCCATACAAAACAGTTTGGGGAGCTCCTACTGTTTGTTTCTTGTTCTTCTTCCAGGGTTTTCCCTACGCCAATTTCAAGCGGTACTCTGTTTCACGGCAGCTGCCTGAGGAGGAGTTCTCTGGCTGGGATGAAGATTTCTGAGTTTCTGGGACTGCAGGGGGAAAGGCCTGCCAAGAGGCATCTCCCTGAGGCCCCATGGACTGGATGGGTCTTTGGAAGCACAGCTAAGAGACCTGAGTCACCCCAGCAACTTCTCCCACTCCCACAACCAGATGCCCCTGAAGAGGGGTCTGCTGCCTTGCTGTCCTCCTGCCTTTCCACCTTTCTCTTCAGTGCTTGGCAGAGACTAGACTGCCCCTCCTGTTGTCTCGCTCCCCACTGCTCTTCTGTTCTCTGAGAGATTATTGCAGTGGGCAAAGTCACTGTGAGTGGGGGTGGTTGTCTTCCTGTGTTGTGCTGCTCAATGTGGGGAATAAATACATTCAGGGCGCAGCCTGAGCCTAGTTCCTGTGACCTGGGCATGGGGTTGGGGGGGCTAGCTGATCTCCATTCTGGATTTCAATTCTTTTCTATTTCAAGGTCCTCATGGTATCCCCTTAGATTTAAAGACAGCTCCCTCTTGAGATGGGCAAACATTTTCAGCCACATTCTCTTTAAAGGGATTTGGGGGGGCATGTAATGGTATGTGGGAAAGACCTTGGGAGATGGGGTGAAGAGATGCTGCCTAGGGGACAGTCAGATAAGAGAAGGCGTAGCCCACAGGTGGATAGTGGGCACAGCAAGAGGCTCAGAAGGGACTCTCCCTAGCTTCTTGGACTGTAAAGGAGATGGTGGGAGATTTGTACTTTCAGACTTGCAAGATTGATGTCAGCCTTCCCAGGTAGACCAGACAGGAAACATGACCAGATGAGCTAGTTCTATTTTATCTTTTATAAGGCTACATTAACAGAATCTTGCAAGTCTGAAAGTATTAATCTCCCACTGTCTCCTTTACAGCCTAGGGAGGGTCCCTTCTGAGCCTCTTGCCTGCCCACTATGCAGCTGTGGGCTATGTCCTCTCTTATCTGACCATTCCCTAGGCAGTATCTCTTTGCCCTGTCTCCCAAGGTCTTTCCCACATACCATTACGGGGAGCTGCAGAGTGTCAATACTGAAGCAAGGAATGGGTGGGGCCAGAGCTTAGGGTGGGGTCACCAATTGATGTTCCCTTTTCTCTTTCTGGCAGCCTCTTCTCTCTCTCCCAAACAGTAAGCTGCTCCTATCAGAGATCTGAACTGATTCCTTGACAAGAAGGAATTTGAAATTAGGCTGAGGGCCTTGAATTACCAAAATCTGATCAGGCCTTTACATTCGTGAGAGGTACACCTTTATATTGGAGCTCTATACTTGGGATAATAAGGTTTCTACTACCAAATTAATGAAAGATTAATGTTGTTACAAGAAACTACCCTTTTCAAGTAGGACCTCTGCACTATATATATGCTTATTATTTCTTAGATTTCTATGCAGTGCACACGTTCCTTCCATCAAGCATTATGAACCAACAAAAACAGATTCTGAATAAAATGTTCTTGAAGGGGGTAGGGGGTAGGTAAATAGCCTCGTGCAATAGTTGTCTTGCTTTTCTTTTCAAAGAACTATATTAGCATTCCTCCAGTTCCATAAATAACCTCACCATAGTGTGGAAAAATGAAAAAACTCCCAAAATATCACTGCAAGGGAGCAGGAAGGTTGACAGAGATGTTCTGCTGTTCTGATGTCAGTGACTGTGAAACAAAAGCCCTTCCTATCCATGCTGCTGTGCTCATTTTATCTGCACAGAGCTCGCTAATCCCAGCTTTTCTCTAAATTTGAAAGCTAAACTCTTGAAACTTCTGGAATATGTCTTGTATGAAGCTGCAAAAGTCAGCAAATAGCACGTTTCACCTGTTCCAAGAGACAGGACAAGCATGTCTGCGTACCTGAAGATACTGTCTCTTATGAATCACTCATCTCCAAGGTGAGCACTTTAACTCTTGCAGTGCCTGTCACTACTATGGAGAGTTTTTGTCATTATTGTTGAATGTCATTTGTACTTGCTGGCAAACCCAAAGCAGCCACCTTTTACCTGAATTACCAGCTACTGCAGAAAGAGTTTGGTTAGGTGCTTACCAGCTATTTCTTGAGATCCCTTGATTAGTCCCAGGCAAAATCTGGGTTCTCTGGACTTCTTTCCAGGCTCAGGGTCCTGCCTTTTCAGCAAATAGCGAAAGAGGACCCATACAGGCAGTCCTTGGGTTATGACGGCAATTGGGACTGGGATTGCTGTTGCTAAGCAATGCAGTCGTAAAGTGCAATGTCATGTGACCACATCACTTAGTGACAGCAATCCTGGCAGTCCTGGTTGCTGTCATAACCCCAGAATCGTGCAGGTTGTTAAGTGGGAAGAGGCAGGAGTCCCAAGCAAGGAGGGGGTGCCACGAGCAGATGCTATGGAGCGCAAGTGGGCCAGTCAAGGAGGCCACAGGAGGGCCGGCAGAGGCCACATGTGGGTTGGGGAGTACCCTTGGGAGGGTGGAGGGGCACACACTACAGACTGCAAGCAGGAGGGTGGGGGGTGCTATGGAGTACGAAATCCTGGATCTCGTACTCCATAGTGGGGCTTCTCGGGAGAAAAAGCAGTGGGAGCAACTTACTGGAGCAACTTGTGACCTTCCCTGCCAGCTTCCCCATTGACTTTGCTTGTGAAAAGCGGGCAGAGAAGGTCACAAGTGGTGATGGCTTGACTGTGGCTTGCTGCAACATTGTAATTGTGAGCCAGCCACCCAAGTGCCTGGATTGCGATCACATGACTGGGGTCCTGTGACAGCTGGAACTTCAAGGACTAGTCGTAAATCCATTTCTTCAGCACCGTTGTAACTCTGAACGGTTGCTGAATGAATGGATGTAAGGCAAGGACTACCTGTACTTAGCTGAATTACAGGAGAAGTGGATATGGGAACTCCAGGGATGTGCCAAAGACTGCCCAGAAATGCTGAGTTTTGAGGAACAAATAAGAAATGTATCGTGTAGGTTGTAATTCTTTACATTAGAAGTAATATCAAACAAGGGAAAGGCAGACTTCAGGGAGCAAACCTGATGGTGATGGAGCTTATAGATGAGGATGGTTGAAGATAAAAGACTAGAAAGAAGACGCCATACAGAAGGCTTTGTGCTAAGAACAAAAGACTTGTTCTAGATTCAGAAGTGGGTAGGAATTGTATGGAAGGATTAAATAATGGTAACATGATCAGAGTAACAAGAAAAGTGAAGGACTTTACAACAGACTGCTAGATGGGTGTGAGTGGACAAAGTGAAGCAGCAAGAAAGATGTTAGTAGTCCAGAGTGGGAAAGGAGCAGAGGTGGACTAGAGATTTTGCTGACAGGATAGGAAGGCCTTCAGCAAGATCTCTGGTCCACTTCTGCTCCTTTCGCACTCTGGACTACTAACAACTTTCTTGCTGCTTCACTTTTGTCCACTACAGTAAAAAGGGATAGTGTGACCTTCAGCAAAATCTCTATTACAAAATCAGGGTGGAACAAATAAGGGAGAGGAATTGTTCAGTATGGCAATGGCAATATTGTCCATAGAAAAAGGGAGTGAACAAGGAAGTGAGCTTGGGAAGAAAGAAAAAGAATTTAGCTGTGAATATACTAGGCATGAAACAATGATGAGTCATCTAAACTGAATATTAAAAAAGGATTGGGAATGTAGAATTAGTGAGAGGAGGACAGTAAAGATGGCAGGTAATCATGCGTATGCAGATGATTGCCTTCATAGAGACAAAACTGAAAAGCACTGAATTTTCAGAGGCCCCCAAGAATATTCTGCAGAGAAAAGGAGAATAACAGCTGCTCTCTGAGGAGCTCCAACAGAAAAGAAGAAAGAGGGGAAATAAGTTTCCCATTATGTGAATACTAAAAATCCAATTAAGGAAAATAAGACAAACAGCTGAAGTTGGAATCATGGAGTTTTAATGCATTGACAGGACCAAGTAGAGAAAAATGATCAACAGGACCATCAATAGGAGAAATCAGTTACTGTATAATACTCAAGAAATATTATAACTGCATACAGCCTTTTTGATTTTGCATTGAGAAAGTCATTGATGATTCTCATGAAGGATGTTTCAAGGCTTGTAGGAGGCAGAAACCAGAGAATTGGGGTTGAAGAGCAGAGATAGGAAAGAGCATTGACAGCAAGAATAAATAGCAGTACACTTCAGGAATTCAGAGAAAAGGAACAAAAGCTGATGGGATGATAGAGAAGATGGGGTAGCACTGCAGAATAGAGAAGAAGACATTAGCATAACAACATTCTAGAGAAGTGAGAGGGAAGAGAAAGGTTGGTTAAATGTGGAAAGAATGGTGGTAGCAAAGGGGAGGGATGACAATCAAAATTAAGAAAGAGATTACAAAAGAACATAAAGGGCTTTGACAGGGAAAGTGGTGCTATGACTGAACTCAGCTCATAAATCTCCCCCAAGAAACAAACCCTAGTTGCATTCACATAATGCACTCTGGTTATTGAATTAACTATTTTCTGAGCTCACACAATACCCTGAACCATAAACCCACCAAACAGGTTAGGTTTGCACAACACACTAAGCCACAAAAAGCTAATCAAGCTGTGTATGTTGTGAGAATACAATCGGTTGGTTTTTATCTATCCTCATGATGTGAACCACAGCCACTGAGTTCCAATCTATATCTCCGACCCTAGGTATTCTCTCTATGGCTAAATGTTCTGATTCCTAATATGGCTAAGAACTAACAACAATAATAGTTAGATCAATTAGATTCTACAACTGATATCAAAAAGATAAAGGGGGCTGCTTAAGAGCCCTCCTAGCTCAAGTTGAAGATCTGTTTGGTTCAGCACCTGTGTGACAATGACATGTGGCATCACTTCTCCCTACAGATAAAGTCTCTTTCAAGTCAAGCTTGACTCCTGATGTTTTCACTGACATGTGCATATCGATTTTTGGCAACTTAGTGGATGTTTTTTAGACTTCTCAGTTGAGCAGTCAGCCCTGGTATTTCCTAGGGGACTGCCATCCAAGTATTAATCAAATCCAACCTTGCTTAGCTTTCTGAGATCAGCCAAGATTGTCTACTGAAATGCATAATAATGTATTGTGTTCTGTGTGCAGGAACGGACTTTTCTGCCTCCCTAGCTCCAATGAGCCAAGGAAACAAGCAGAAATGTCTCTGCACTTAAAACTGGGGTTATCTGCACTCAAGATAATATACTATCTACTGCATGAGGAAAAGGAGGATCTAATTCACTCAGAGGCATAAAATTTAAGCTATCTGTATTCTTCCCTTGTTCCCTAAGCATTTAAAAGCTGCACCTTGGCAGACAGCAGCATAAACCAATGGATTCCTGGACTTTGTCCTTTAATCTATGGCATCATTGAAGGTATCAGACAGCACCAGAGGACACAATCCTCACCATACACTAGAC